CTTCCCCTTCCCCTTCCCCTTCCCACCTTCCCCTTCCCACCTTCCCCTTCCCGTTCCCACCTTCCCCTTCCCCTTCCCCTTCCCCTTCCCCTTCTCACCTTCCCCTTCCCCTTCCCACCTTCCCTTTCCCACCTTCCTCTTGTCCCAGTCCACAATTTGTTTATTGCCATTTTTGTAGAAAGCCTGATGGGATAAATCCCATCTACCAAGTTTCTGAAATGGGTTTGATGCCAAGGCTGGGCCATGTTGTGGTGAAATGGAGGGTGGGAGGAGGACAGGAGCTTCTTTTCCTGGGACTGGGAGGAAAGATCTGCTCTTGGCACATGGGTTATTTTTACATAAGTCTCAAGGTCTTGAATCACCAGATTCAAGTTGTGGAAATTGGGATCATCTAAAGTGTGTCTCAGAGCCTGAGCAAAGGGGAAAACCAGCTTGACCGGGTGACATTTTTCCCTTCCTTGTGCCCTGGCTGTTTGTTGACTGAATGCCAGGATGGAACATGCTGCTCCCTGAGGTCAGTTGGAATGTCCTGGTGTACAGCAGGTCTGGACACTCATCACAATCCTCAGTGAGGTCACTCCACAAGACATCATTAGCCACTGCTGATGAAACTTTCTCAGGCTTTACCAGATAAATTCACAGGTCTGTTAAAGACCAGAGTGTATTCTGGTGGACACCAAAGGAGATTTCAAAACTGGATTTTTGAGGAAGAAGTGTTGGGGAAAGACTGCTCATTGAGCCCTGTGTCAGGGACCGAGATCCAGCCATGCCCAGCAGAGCTGAGAGCAATTGATTGCAGTCCCTTGCATTTGTGAGGGTCATTCTGACATTAGCACAGCATCAGCTCTGGTTCAGGATGCTCCTGGCAGCATGCACAGGATGTCCACCCACCTGTGTCTTCTTCCACTGTCCCCTAGCTCCATCAGTGGGAGGGTCTTGTTGACCAAACCATGATATGGTCCAGGTCCATCTTCTCTCAGTGGTGTTACAGATTCTGTGTCCCTAAAAACACTTATCATGGAGTGAGGCTTCCTTGGCTGAGAAGAGACTCTGGACTTCTCACCTGAGCTCTCCAGTCTCACCAGTTCAGTCAGGGAAAAAGGGATGTGCCAGCCAGGTACAGGGTGTGCAGACACTTCCCTGACTAGAGAAATCCAAGGGTCTGAGCAGCTGCTTGTGGCCTGGAGTTTGTGAGAGATGTGTAGGCATTGGCATCATTCCTCAGGTGTTCTCTTCGAGGGTTTGTGACAATTTAGGGACAGACAGGAAGATTAATGTCACAGTCCATAGACAGAGTGTCCCTTCTCCTGCCTCATGCATCTGCTCCAACCCATGTGAGCTGTTTGAGTTAGGAAATGCTGTGAAGTGAGGACAGGGCTGGTGAAGATGGCAGGTTTGGAGTTAGCCCCAGTGGGTTTAGCAGTAAAGGGCACAGACCACCCAAGGCCACATACACATGGCTGTCACTGATCTCCTTCTCCCTTAGGGGCAGCTGGGCTGGTCTGTGCAGAGACCTTGCGCCAGGAGGGTTTCTCTGACCGAATTGTGATGTGCACCATGGACAGACACTTGCCCTATGACAGACCAAAGCTCAGTAAGGTTTGTATCACTCTGGGTATGCCACATTTCTCCCCAGTTTTAAAATTTGCTCTAGGACCTTTCCCTGCTATTATGCATTGCAGCAGCAAGGTTCTGTTTCCTTCGTTTTCCTGTCTCTGTTTCCCTTGAATTTTCTTCCCTCTTTGTGACTGAAATATGAAACACAAAAAAGGAGTTGTTCAAACTGATATAAGAGTACTCCAGGAGAAAAACAAGGACATTCTTCCTTTCCTTCCTTGTGTGGGTGGTAAGGCCCTAACACAGGGTGCCTAGAGAAGCTAGGATCCCTGGAAGTGTCCAAGGCCAGGTTGGATGGGGCTTAGAGCAACCTGGTCTAGTGGAAGGTATCCCTGCAAACTGAAATGAGACAAAATGAGATGATTTAGTCCCTTGCAACCCAAACCATTCCATGATTCATATGATGCTTTCTTCAAGATCTAATGGTAACTGTCTTAGCCAACTTGTACCTGGTTACTGGTAACCTGGGTCTTTTTTAAGTGTTTCTGGATCAAAATCTTTAAGGCAGTGAGATGGAGCATGTGAAAAAATGGTGTTGTCTACCAGGGTTTTTATTGGTGCCTGTCTCTTGCTGCCCAGGGATGCTTTGTGCCGTAATTTCGATGATTCTCAACTGTCATCACAACTTGATAATTTGATGGAAGTGCAAAGGTCACTTTTTCTGGCACACATCCCATTTTGCATTCCAGTTTATAGACACAGGATGATCTTTAATCAGATTCTTTTGCTGCTGATTCCTGAGACTTCTTTGATGTCAGACAGCAGCTCAAGTTGGACAGCAGCATTTGACCTTGGAGCTTGGAGATAACGTAAGGTGAACTATGTGTTGATCCTCATGTCAGGAATGCTTACCGATGGGGACTACTACAATCAAAGCATTTAACTCTGCTTCCAGCACCCAAAAATGGGATTTTCAAAGACAGGCAAACATGTCTGTTTGCACATGGCTGTTTGGGAGCATTCAGACCATTTCTGTGCTTCTGAGAGTCCTGCCTGGGGTGAGGAGCAGTTGCCTGGTACCTGCATCCAAGCATCACAGGGGTTGTGCTGGGGTTGCTCAGAGAATCTGAGAGCCGCTGTCCCAGCCAGACAGCTCTTCCAAACACTTATCCCCACGTATGAGTCTTAGATGGCTATTCTTCTCTCTGTTAAATAGTAAGAACATTTCACATGCAAGAGATGTTGTACATGGTTTGTTAAATCCTCTACTAGACCCCTCTGGTTGTAGTTACTTTTGGAAGGTGCACAAAGCCCATGGAAGAGAAGGCAGAATTTTGGGGAAGAGGGTAGGAAAAAATGAAATTTTCCTTAATCCTGTTGTGAGTGGGACTAAACCTGTTCAAGCCACTGGAGAAGGAGTGCTAACTCTGTAAGCAGCAGAGCTCTTGCTCCTGAAACTGCAGCACTGCCCTTCCTTTGCCCTGCCCTGCCCTGTTATCAGTCTGTCTCCAGGTCCTGCTGGACTGTTTCCCTTTGCCCCCTTTGGCCCATGACCTATTCCCTGTGTGTTGCCACATCTGTTACTGTCCTGAGTGCACCAAGCAGCAGCAAAAGCTGTAGTGGTTGTGCACTGTTCTGCCTTGCCCTCCTTACACACTGTCACAGAGAGGTCAGGTGTTTCTCTCTGTAAATGTGGATTATCAAAGAATTTGCAGTAAAACCTATATGATGCTGCCCCTGCCTCGAGTCCTGTAACACCAGACTCTCCTGAGCAGAGCATTGTCTGAAGTCAGAGTAAGGGAGTGTCTTGTCGGGCTCATTCCAGCCCCTGACCAGGCCACCTCCAAGGAGAAGGATCTTGCACATCCATCTCCATGGGTGAATAGGAAAGCCCTTGATTCCTGCGTCCCCTGTTGCTCCTGGATCAAGCCCAAACATCATCCCTGTGTGGCATGAGTAGATGCTGGTGCTGAGCCTGTGCTGATCTATAGCGGGGCTTGACCATGGCGCCTGTGCCTGTTCCTGCTACGCTGCAGGCAGGAAGGGGTACACCAGCAGGGAGCAGCCTGCACACTCAACAGGTCACTTGATGCTCAGCTTGTCCTCAGCCTGAATGAGCTTGTGTCCACAGAGTCAGGAGAACAGATGATCATGGGCTCAACCCTGTGTGTAAAGATGTACGTCTCACCCCAGTGACCAGGGAAGCCTGGGAAAAGCAAGAACCTTTATCTTGCAGCTGAAGATGTGCAGATATGGGCCCCACCCCCTTGCTTCAGCATTCGATGGAACTTGTGCAGCATAAATTGGGTACTTTTTAAAGTGTATCCTTGTGTATTAATGCTGCTCATTCTTACTGCTCTTCTAGCTTCCATTTGCCCTGGTAACTGGCTGCTTTTCAAATTATCATAGAATGGTTTGAGTTGGAAGAGACTTCTAAAAGTCATCCTGTGCCACCCCCTTGCTGTGGGCAGGGAATCCTTTTACTAGACCAGGTTTTGCTTCTGTCCAACATTTTCACAGCTTCCCTGGGCAACCTATTCCAAGGCCTTGACACCTGTGTTGTAAAATCAGGCTTTTCTCTTGCTCCTGTGAACCCGTGCATGCTGGGAGGGGCTGCAGTTATGGTTGCTTTGCTGACACTCCAAAGCACTTGCTGTGGTCCTGCCTCAGCCACTCAGCACCAGCCCCACGCCGAACCAGCAGAGAAGGCACCACAGCCCAGACCAGCCTCTTGTGACGACTCCTACTTGAACAGACTTTTATTCCAGCCCTGTAGAGCCATTCCCTTAACCCATGCAACAAGTGCTGACTTGTGCTGGTAGCAGCTGTTTCTCCACTCACCTGTTCAACCCACAGCAGCTGACAGAAAAATGGCTTTTTGCAGTCAATGGATTCCCACCCTGAGCAGATTGCCCTACGCTCCAAGGAGTTCTTTTGCACCTATGACATCGAAGTCTTGACTGAAATGCAGGTAAGGAGAGTCCTGTGTGTACCTGAAGGAAAGTGCTGGTATGCAAAGGCTATATTTAGGGAATGTGTCTCTGTTCTTGGCTCACTGTGTGCCACTGTGTGAATGTTTGGTCTCCCCCAGACCCCTCTTTTTGCCCCAGAGTGCAAGTTGCCTGTGGTTGTTCAAAACACAGCTAATGCAGTGCTCCAGTGGCAGGAAGGGCACGCTGGGTGTGACCATGGTGTGGCCATCTGTGGTGACCATCATGTGCTACCTGCCATTCCTTGTGTGGATCTTGGGAACCGGGCACCATCTGATAAGGATAATCAGCCTTTAAACAGTGCAGACAATGATGGATTAAATATTTCTCCCCATTATGTTATTTATATTGGGAGACATTCAAGGATTTGTGAAAAGGCAGCTAGGAATATATATGCTGTGGGTTGGCGAGGTTTTGGACAGCAGGGGACTAAAACTAACAGACTAACAAAAAGCAACTAACTAACAAACTAAAACTAACATGGAGTACTAAAACCTGACAGACAAGTTGATTGGGCTGGGACCTTGGTGAAAATCTGGGATTTCTTCCCTTAACATTATTTAGGAATGATTTTAGGTGGCGGCTGTGGATATCAAGAGCAAGATAGCTGTGTTCAAGGATGGGTTTAAGATGGAATACAACAAGCTGCTGATAGCAACAGGAAACATGTAAGCTTCAGACAAACATCTTAAAGATCAAGAGAAACTGTTTTATCTGAGAATGTGAGGAGCTTGTGCATGGGGATAAGGGATGAAATGTGGCAGGTGAATTTGAGCACTGAATTTGAGTATGGAAAAGCCAAGGAACACAAAAGATATTGGAAATGTGGAAAAGATAATTGGAAAATATCTATGATAATATATAGATGTAGATGTATGTATCTACATCTATATATTATCATCTATCTATTTCATATATATCTACATCATATATTATAGAATCACAGAATCACAGGATAGTTTTTGTTGGAAGGGATATTAAAATTCATCTAGACCCACCCCTGCTGTGGCCAGGGAATACTTTCCACTCGACCAAGTTGCTCCAACCTGGCCTTGGACACCTCCAGCGGTGATAACAGAACCTTGAACTTATTTCTTTAACAAAAGCTCCAAAGTGGAAATATTTTAATTTTTTTTGAGGGCATTTTCTGTCACATTGCTCTTCTTTTCACTCCTTGATAACACTCAGCCCTGACAGCCATCATCCCTCTGAATTTCCATCTTTCATTTTGTGCCAACCTTTAAGATCTTTCTCAGTCATTAAGGTTTAACACTTTGCTGTTGCAGCCTTAATTAGATGTTGCTATTGCCCCATTCTAGCAGGCCCTTTGGGAGCCTTGGCCCCAGGATAGGAATTTTCAGGACTGAACCTGGTCCAGCCATAGGGAAAGGTGGTATTGATGTGCTGGGATGCCGAGCATCACCCTGGATTGCTGTTGTCACTTGTGCCCTGGAAGTAGTGGATTAGTTTGTTTTCAGTTGGAGGTCTGTGAAAATTGGCAGTTTAAGCTGAAAATGAGGCATCCTGGCTCTCCTTCCTTGTGTTCCTTACATCAAGCCATAAAATGAAGTAGGAGAAATGCAGCCCCTGCATAATTTATGATCTGGGGAAAGGATGCTGTAGAACAGGCAAAGCAGGGACTTAAACTGGAAACCAAAGTGCCACCAGTCATAGCCAGTACCACAAGGAGTGAATAGCTGGTACTAGGTTGTACAGCATCACAGCCAAAATGCCATATGCACCAGCCACCCAATTAGGTTCAAAAGAGGATTAAGCCTCTGGCAATAATTTCAAAATTCTCATGCACAAGCTCCGGGTATACTGGGTAAATGTTTTTTAAAATATTTAGGATTTTCTGTCCTGTTTCCAGATGTGAGTCAGGTATGCAGGGGACAGATATTTAAAAATATATGGGCTCCAGTAAGTGCCTGGGGAGGGCACAGTTAAGCTGCTGCAGCATCAGAAGTGTGCCCATGGGAATGAATGGAGAGTTCTGCTCTCTGCATCTGCAGAGCCTTATCAAACTTTCAATATATGACTCCAAAGAACTGCAGGAGGACAGAGTGAATTTTCTATGTCCCATTAAATGTCATAAAAATGTTATGACATGCCAGTAATTGAGCATAGCAAGTAGAGTAAAGCAGTGCCTGTCCTGTGCTGGCTGCACTGCCCCAGGAAGGAGCTCCTCCCCTGAAGCTGTGGGTACACCAGTCCATGATGGACCTGGGGTGGCTGCTTAGCATCCCCTGCTCCACCATTGGCCAACAGCATCTGGGTTTTTCCATGTTATGTCTCCAGCCCAGAGAAAGGTGAAAAAAAGGAAAGTTGGGAATGTTCTTGGAGCCCCAAAGAGAGCGTCTGCAATCCTGACTGGGCACTGAACTCTGAACAGAGTTGGGAAAAGCAGCTGTATCACCCTCAATGTTTTCCAGGCCTAAAACTCTCAGCTGCAAAGGCAAGGAGATGGAAAATGTTTTCAACATCCGGACGCCTGAAGATGCCAATCGTGTGGTGAAGCTGGCCACGAGCAAGAATGTGGTGATCGTGGGAGCATCCTTCCTGGGTGAGTGCTTGCCTGGCCCGTGTCCCGGTCCCAGCTTTCCACCTCTGCCTTCAGAGGGGAAAAGTCCCTTGCCCTGGTTGTCACTGCCCAGTTAGAGGTAACATCCCCACGAAATTGGACGTGGGATAGTCCAACCTCCAGCCCCAGGTGCATGTAACGACATTTCTGTGCTGAGGAAATTGATTTTTCAAAGAGGCTGGGCTGGCATGGACACAGATATTTCTGTCCCAGTTTGAAAAGCACATGTCAAGACAAGTACTGGTGCTCACATGGGTCCAAAGCTGGTGTGTCTAGAGTGGGCTTCAGTCAGGAGAGTCTTTTTGGTGGGTAGGAGCCTGTGGGCTTATTCTCTTTTACATTTTAGGAGTGTGGTGAATTTTTAAAATGCACAGGAAAAGTCTTTGTTTCTTTGATGGTTCTTCTTTTTGCTTGATATGGTTCCAACAAAATTTTTGTGAGTCCTAACAAAATAAGAGTGGGTCCTGCAAGCCTTAAATGTAAATGGTTATTTACAGGGAATATATAGTCAGGGAATTTATTATAAAATGTTCATTATTTGTTTTTCTTTTAAAAAAGATAAACTTGCTTTTAATGGTTGAATCAATATGATCTACAGAAAACCATATGGTGTGGGGAGCCAATTGCAAACTGCAGGTCATGAAAAAGATTCTTTTCCAAAAAACCCCACAGATAGAAAATGTCTTGGTGGAGGTTCCCATGCAATTCCCAGCACCGAAATTCAAAATTCTGATGGGAGAAAACAGCTGCTCGCAAGAGCTGAGGTTGTCCCAGCTGTAGGACGAATGTTTCCCTTGGCTGAGGTCCCTTGTTCCTTATTTTTACCAGGGCACTTTGGGATTTCATAGCCAATTCCCCCTTTTGGTCTTTAAAACCTTCATCTAAGAACACCTGAATCAGTGTGATCCCTGGTGTGATCAGGTCTGGTGGCTCCACAGTTCTCCCAGGAGTGCAGCTCCAGCCTCCCCATTTGGAGTGGGTAAAGCTGTTCCTTGTCTGCAGCCAGGGACACAGGTCTGTGCTGTGTGGGTTAATGTGGCTGCTTGGACGTGGTTCTCTTCCCCAGGGATGGAAGTGGCCGCCTACCTCGCGGAGAGGGCGCACTCGGTGTCCCTGGTGGAGCTGGAGCATGTTCCCTTCAAGAAGTTCTTTGGGGAGAGGGTTGGCCGTGCTGTCATGAAGGTGACCTTGCCTTCCCATCTGGGGGTGTGGTAACAGCAGATTTTGCTTGTTTCATTTATTGCTCTAATTAATTTACTTCACATTTATTGACAAAGCTGTGATGACAGTAGTCAGTGAGAATGGGCTGTTTTCCCTGCCATGGTCCACGTGCTATGAAGCACCTTCTTCTAGTGCTATCTTGGGGATGTTATCCCCTTAGCAGTGCAGGTCAAGGCAAGTGTGCAGGGTGGGCAAGGCAGTGCTGGGGGCAGTGGGACATTAGGACCAGGATGGTTCAGGATCCTGGTGTTCCCTGCTCTGTCCCTTGTCCCCTCCCTCCAGATGTTTGAGAACAACAGGGTGAAGTTCTACATGCAGACAGAAGTGTCAGAGCTGCGGGAGCAGGAGGGGAAGGTAAGTGGTGGGCAGGGGCTCCCTGGGGGTACCGCTGTGGCATCCCCCAGAGCTGCCATTCCCTTCCTAGCGGGGTTTTGCTCTCCCCTCTTTCCTATCCCCTGAAATTCATATTCTTAGATTTGGCCCCCAGGAGCAAATGTATGCCAGTGTGGTGTGTGGGGTGTCTTCGTTGCTCCCACTCACCTCCTGCTGCTTTTCTAAGGAATTATAGTCAATTTGCATTTCACAAACGAGGTGAGCTGCCAGCTCGGCCTCCTGCTGCTACAGAGGGGTTTTGTCCCTAAAATAACTCTGATGTGCCCCCTGCCCCTTGTGTCTCCTGCAGCTGAAGGAGGTTGTGCTGAAGAGTGGGAAGGTCCTGCGTGCTGATGTCTGTGTCGTGGGTGTTGGTAAGGGTTGTGTGGGTGCAGAGCCAGGAAGGGAGGGCAGAGAAGAAGTTGGAGGGGAGATGGCATCAGGAGGTCCCTGGGCTGGGTTGCCAGGGGTACTGGCAGTGGTCTGCAAGTCCTGCTGCACTGCTACACATGAGTTTGCATATCTAAAAAAGGCATTTCTAGAGCCCCCACAACAAAATAAAAAAAAAAAATATTTCAGAAGTAATACATTTTTTTTCCCAGGAAAAAACAAAACATTTAAAGCAGTTTCATCCTCTCAAGATATTTTTTATTAAAACTTTCCCAAACTGAATTTTAATGTGTTTTTTTTTTCTTGTTAATTACTGCTTACAGCAGTCAAAAAATGTATCCCATACTATAAAATACTCCATAGAATATGATATTTTTCCCCTTTACACTTGCGGAGGAAAAAATTCCCTTTCCTTCCCTCTTTAAAATGCTGTGGACTGGAAGAATCACAGAACTAATTTAATCCTGGTTTTGTTGTTTTTATTGACTAGTCTGATCTGTGAAAAGGCTGGAAGTGAAAAAAAAAAAAGTAAAAGGAAGGTGAAAGAAATACACAGACTGGGGTGAGGCTGAGGAGCCCTGGCTGGAGACTGTAAGGTTCCATTTTAAATATATTTTTTTTCAAAGTATCTATAAAAGAGAATTAAATTGAAAATTATCTCCAAGCACTTGAAAAGGCCAGTGGACAAGTTACACTGTGGTGGCTTGGGCAGAACAGGGATCCTGAGGGATCAGAGGCTGATGCAGTGGGGGCTCTGTAGGGTACCAGATCGTGCTCCACACTCCCAGAATAGCTGCTGCCTGTCCCTGGGGGCAGCCCCACTGCCCTGGCAGGGAAAAGGTTTCAGGATCAGCCCCCAGGGCTGTGGAACACCAGACACTGCAGCAGTGGTCTTTGGCTTCCCCCCAGGTGCAGTCCCAGCAACAGCCTTCCTCAAGCAGAGTGGCATCAACATTGACTCCAAGGGCTTCGTTGTTGTCAACAAGGTGAGCTCAGGGGCAGCCCCTGTGGGAGGGAGAGGAGGAGGAGCTGGGTCAGCTCTTCTGGATGAGCTTCCTTGGGGCTCCAGACTGCTATCACAGGAGATTTTTGTGGCCTTTTATTTGCCAAGATTGGCAGAATTGGAATTTTTGAATTCTTTGGGCTGGCCTGTGCAGGGCCAGGAACTGAACTTGATGACCCTTGTGGTTGTCTTTAATCTCAGGATATTCTGTGAGATGCTGAGATTCTGGGAGCATCACTAGGAGTGCCTGGGACCTCTGTCTCTGCAAGTGGGGGTGTGCAAACCCCAGACCTGGATGCTCTGGCTTGGGTCTGGCTCTGAGCTGTCCTGGAGTATGGATATTTAGAGGGGGAAAAATTGAGATAGATCCATCTTTTCAAGGATCCTAAAAGATCTCATCCTTTCTCCCCACAACCAGTGACTGCAATGGGAGTAGTGTTGGAGCTGGTGGGTGTTGGTGCCTTGGGCAAAGGAGTCAGGAGGCTGGGGCTTAGTGCCATGCAGCGCTCATCCCTGCAATAAGCTGGGCTCTATCTGCAAACACCATCAAACCCCAGACTTCTGAGAAGGGCTCCAGGACACTAGTCAATGTGTCTTTATACTGGATAACCCACTAGCTGGGGGATACTGTAGGTCCCTGCATGTGTGTGTTCTCATTTGAAGGTGAAGAAAGCTGAATGAAATCTCCTCTGGGGGTCCCACAGCCAAACAGAGGTTTTCTGTGTTCTGAGGGACTGTGGCAGCTCTGGACCACTCCAGCTCTGGAGTTTCTGTTCACATAGGGCTCAAACCCAACTGATGCCCACCTCTGTTCCCCCCTGCAGATGATGCAGACCAACATCCCAGGGGTCTTTGCTGCTGGAGATGCTGTCACATTTCCATTGGCCTTGAGGAATAACAAGAAGGTGAATGTTCCCCACTGGCAGATGGCCCACATGCATGGTAGGTACTTTGCAGAAAAGTGCCTTTTCCAGATTCTTAGGAAATTTCCAAATCCTCCAGGGCAAGAATGAGACAACTGCCAACAGAGAGACTGAGTGGTTGTATTGAACATTCTGAAGCATGTGTATCTTATGCTGCCTGTTGTGTCTTCATCTGTCAGCATTCTTGCCAAGCTTTGCCTAACAATGCCTCATCACCAGCACAGAGGAGCCCAGGGACAGGCTTTCCCATATTCCTTTTGCTCCCTGGCACTGCTGTGGGAGCCAGCTCTACTCCCTGTCCCAGGACATTTTAGGAGCTCACATCCTAATGCCAGCCTGGGCTCAGGTTCCCAGCTGGACTTCCCACACTGCCAAGCTGGCCCAGGAGTGTTCAGCAGAGCTCCGATCCTTCTCGCCTCTTGTCAGCCTGGAACCCCTGGTGTGATGGGCTACCCTCATGGCCACAGTCCCACAGGGGGGTTTCCTGTGCCCTGGGTGAGAGGTTTTAGAACCACAGCTCTGAATTCAGTCTTTGGACACCTCTCCCTTGTCCAGATATGCTTCTGCAGCAGGGTCTGTACTCCAACAGTCTCCATGCCCTTCCAAGGGTTTGTCTATCCCATCCCCATCTAGGGTAGGAGCTCAGCACACTGTCAACCCCGTCACTATTGCACAAGCTGGGGGGAAAGAGTCCCATGGGTATACATGGCTCATGGCAGTGGAGGTGATGAGTAGGAGCTGCACCATGGGAAGGAGTCTGAGTCCATCCTCATGTATTTCCTGCTTTGTTGCTGTGTGGGTTTTCTCAGAAGCAGTTCTTGGTTTTCCTGTACTCTGTGACTGGTGGTTCACTTTACTCTGTGATGCCGTGACCTGAGGGCAGAGCATGGAGCTTGCCCTGGAATGACAATTCCCCCATCCCAGTGCTCTCTTGCAGGCCGCATCGCCGCGCTGAACATGCTGGCCCACGGCACGGAGATCAGCACTGTCCCATACCTGTGGACAGCTATGTTTGGGAAGAGCATCCGATATGCGGGTAAGGGGCTCCCTGGGGCTGCTGTGACTTTGTGCTGCTGGAGGTGTCCTGGGACAGAGAAGCCAGGGTCATGTCCTTTACTGGGAACCCTCCCCACCAACCTCTGCCACAGTGCTGTTTCCCTGCCTGGCTTCTGTGAGGGTTCAGTGTCTCTGACACCCATCTGCCATGAAGTGCACTTCTCTAAAAACAGAATGGAGGATTGACTTAAATTAGATATTGGGATGAAATTCTTCCCTGTGAGGGTAATGAGGCCCTGCACAGGTTGCCCAGAGAAGCTGTGGCTGCCCCACCCCTGGAAGTGTTTAAGACCAGGTTGGACAGAGCTTGGAGCAACCTGGGTAGTGGAAGGTGTCCCTGCCTGTGGTAGAGGGTGGGAAAAAGAGGGTTTTTTAAGGACTTTTCCAGCCCAAAACTCTCCTGTGATTCTGTGTTTTTTGGAACCTGCATCTCCTGGTGCTGGTCTCTTGGTCACTGCAGGATGTTCTCCATGTAGTGCTGGAATGAAACACCTTGTCTTAGAGCTGGATCTGGAGGAATTGCTGCTGAATCCACTTCTTTGCTTTTCAGGCCATGGGGAAGGATTCGATGATGTTGTCATTCAGGGAGATTTAGATGAACTGAAGTTTGTGGCATTTTATACCAAGTAAGTGTTTCTCTTATCCATGTTCCTACACAGACATTCACCTGAGAATACTCTGCTAGGCCGGAAAATAGTTGTGCCAGAACTTCTGTCAGTCAGTTTTGTTCACCTCTGCAGACTGAGCTTATGGAACACTTATACAAGGCCCTGCAGAAATGATGTTCTGATTGTACAAGTTAAACTGGTCTTTGGACCTGGTGTCTCTATCCCTTGTCCTCATAATCTCTGTGGGCAGACGATGGCTTATACTGGCAATTCCTATCAAATATTTTTTTCCCATATCATCACCATATTAATGATTTGTGACCAGTACTGGACAGAGTGCTCTGTCCAGAGAAGCACTATTTCTGCTTCTGGTTTGACAAATTGAGCTCAAAAAACTCTTCTGTCTATCACAAGCTGTGAAGGTTTGAAGGAACTCAGGAACTGTTACATCTGTAGTGAAACCCAGCTCTCCCCCGGCTTGGGAGCCTACCTGGGTATGCATTCTTGAGATGTGTTGGCTGCTGGGATGTGCTGCCTGAGCTGTTCTGGAGCTGTGCTGGCTGTCTAGACTGGAAAGTCAGTGCACCATGAATTTATCTCAAAAATGTTTGCTGCTGTTTATTCTTCTATTGCCTTTGTCCATCCCAGTCTGAAACCAGTGGCTACAGAACATCCTCATGCTGGAACCAGAGGGGTTTCTCCAAGTGCTTTCTGATATTAAGGATAAGGAGAGGGAAACCAGGGAAGAAAAAGGCTGCCAAGCTCAGCCATCAAACTACTTGGCAGCAGCATCCAGGCAGGGATCAGGAGGGAGCTCAGGACACAAGCCAGCTCTGGCTCTGCAGACATCATCTCACTGCCCCTCTGTCCCATCTGAAATGGACCCCATGCCTTCTCCCTCCCTGAGGTTGACCCACTTGCCCATGTTGCTCCAGAATGGAGCCTGGCATCTAGATGTGTGCACTGAGCTTGAAGAGGTATGGAACTCAATGTATCACCCCAGAGATCCCCAGTGCTTACCCTGCTCCCCCTGGTACCTGCACACCTTGGGTAAACACCTCCTGCAGGGATGCGGCTCCAACTGGCACCTGGGGACCTTTACACACTGGATACAGCTCAGAGTGTGCTGGAACCTTGGTCAAAATTGCCTAAAGAGGTGGGTTTGTGACAAGGCACCACCTGTGCTGGGGAGACCTGCTATGAGAGTGTTCCCCTCCTGCAACTTTTCCACATGAGAGCTTTTTATCTCTTTATCTCAACCTAATTAGAAATGAAACATCAGGTTGCTTTAATCCGGAGGCCATTCAAAGGGAATGCCCTGAGCAAGGTGCATAATCCCTGTCCCATGCCAGGGACCCATGCTTTGTGTGCCATGGTGGCTGCAAGGGACAGGGGCTGCCAGGGGACCTGGGCTTGGTGGGCAGCACTGGGGGTCCCTGATGAGCACTGTGTTGTTCTGCCACCCAGGAGGGTCTCCTGGAGATGGCGTGTGGGGGTCAGCCAGTATGTCCCCTGTTGCTTGGCTCCCTGTCTGTGGAAGGCCACTGGAGTATTTCTTTCTTTTTTGGTGGTGGTTCTTCTAGTTGGTGCTAATGCTTTTGGACTGAGGACAGTCCCAAGCTGACCATTTCCTCCTGCTTCCTTCTGCTGTGCCCACCCTGTGGTTTGGACCCTTCTCCTCCTGGTCCTCCTTAGTTTTTGAAGGAACTACTGGTGGCTCCCACTCCTACAGCCTGTCCTCAGCATTGGCTTTCACAATAAGGCTTCTTTTGCCCCAGAGTTTGAAGAGGAAAGCTGTTTTGTGAGAGCTGTATAGAGGTCAATAAAAGGCCCTGTGCTGGGAGGTGTAGGGGACAGCATTCTGCAGATATTCCTATGGGACACTGCCTTCACAACAGACTGATGTCTTCCTGCCCCTAAGATCTTGGAGACCTTAGGGGAATTGTCTTCTTCATGGTTCCCCACCTCTGTTATGTTGAACCCTAAAAAGGAAGGGAAGACCATGTAAACAAATGCACTGTGCTTCCCTCTCCCCTCAGTCTTCACAAAGACTTCTGATTGCTCCAAATCCCAGGTTCAGGATGGGAATTCTCATTGTCTTTGAGGACCTTTTGAAAAAGAGGAATTCCTCCTGGCTTTCCCATTTATCTGACAAAGTGTTCAAGAGCCTGTGCTGATGCAGGATGCTCCAGCTCACCAGCACCTCATGAGTTACTTTGCAAAAGAAGCAGCTACCCCATGTCCTGCTGACAGAAATGTTTGGGCTGCATTCGCCTTCCTGGCTGGCCCCTTTGGGCACTGTCTGGGTTTGAGGCTCAGCCAGTGGGCAGCTGGTGGAAATACATCTGGTTCCTTAGCACACTTCAGTTATTCATTGCTTGGAACAGCATATCTCCCCCTGGTTTTGATGGATAGGTCTCTCCAACCACTTTGTGTTTCCCATCTGGGAGCTGACTCTGCTCAGGAAACTGCTCTTCTTTCTTTGCCATGAGTTATTGAGGAATGGGAGTTTTTGAAACTAAACAGTCTGTAATGGAGCTGCCCCATGGCTTTGTAAACAGGTGTGAGAGATGGCTTTAACTCCCATGGCTGCACAGGGCTGAAGAGTCCTCTGAAACATGACTTTTGCTCTCCTTGTCCTGGGAATTACCACACATCCCTCCCATCCCAGCTGCTCTTTGCTCTGTTGATCTCAGAGCACTTTGGCAGTGGATTTAAGAGCAGATCTTGGTTTAGTAGGTGCTTCTACTCTTCAGTTTATTCAAGAATATCACCAGAGTTTTAAATCTTACCCACACATCTTCCCTGATCTCACATTGTACATTCAATTATCTCTTCATGAGTCGAGCTTTGAAGGATTACGCTTGGATTGACCTTGGCAAACCCCAAATGAGAAGCACCCTTCTCATTTGCCAGTGACCTTTAGCCAAAGCTCCGCCAGCAGTTTTACATCCTCTTTCTTCTGCTTCATTTGTTTTCCACCCAGCCTTTGAGGCTGCATTTGGATTCTTCTAGCGGAACAGTCAGCCAACCTGGACATCCCATATACATAGGGACTTCATTGCTGGGGCTGTGGGACCCAGGGGTTGGACACCCCAGCTGTCCCAGTGTCCGTGGAGCAGCTCAGAGCAGGGCACTCTGCTCATTTGGAGGTGAGGATCTGGAAGGGGATGTGGAGCATCCTAAATGAGTGTTCCACAGGGAAATCCTGACCACCTACCTCTCTACTTCCTCCGCACAGGACAGCAGTGCAGGGATCACAGCTGGCCATTCTTCATGGTGTCCAGGTTTTTATCCACCATCAGATCTACCTTTGATGCTGTTATCCCACAGATGCCAGGGTGCCAGAGCTATCTCCATCACCCAGGCACTTTGTGATACTCACCACATCATCATGAACATCAGTGGGACCAGTGGGGTCTGCTGTGCCACTCTGTAGCCTCTCCTGATCCTTGTTCCAGCCACTAGCACAGTCCCTGTGGTACTCATACCTTGGGATCAGGCCTGGCTCTGGAGTGGGTGTTCCTCTTTGCCTCCCTCTTCTGTTCATCATGGTGGGTTTTGGGTGGTGGAGCTGTGGCCATCCAGGCTGCCCTAACTGCTCTGTTTTGCCTGGCCCTAGGAGCGACGAGGTGGTGGCTGTGGCCAGCATGAACTATGACCCAATTGTCTCCAAGGTGGCCGAGGTCCTGACTGCTGGCAGGACCATCCGGAAGCGTGATGTGGAGTAAGTAGACAGACAGTGGAACGTGGCAGTGTCAGGGCAGCAGCTAAGCACAGCCGTAGGGTGCTGGGCAGAGTTGAGCCTTTCCCACTCATCCCTCTCCATACCCTTCCATCCCCCCTGTGCTGCTTCCCAGCTGCCTCCAGGCCTGGCATCCCCCACACACAGGGGGTTTGTCTTAAACACCAGGACCCAAATCATTGCACAGACATGATGGGATGGGTGCCTGTGGGCACTGGCACATCATGTCTGATGCTGGGGTGCACCTGGGCATCCAGTCAGTCAAGGAGACCTGCAGAGAGGGACTGGATGTGTAGCCTGTGAATAACCCCTGATGCACAACCCAGCCCAGAGAGCTGGTGGTGCCAGGATGCCAGGCTGTGTCTCAGCCTCTGGTATCTTGGAGTGGAGCTCATAGGCAAAGGGCATTTTTCTCCCTTCACTTTGTTTTTAAGGTCATGCAGAGGAAAGAGCATAGCTTTGTGCTGAGGGTGGGTTCTGGAAGGCAAATGCCAGGGAGGTGATAACAGCTGGAAAGAAGCCTTTGGAGTGTGAATCAGAGCTGCTGAGGGTCCCTGTTGCAGGGGTGTTGCAACATCTGGAATAAAAACAGGTATTTTCAAAAGCTCAGGGAGAGGAGCACTCCCAACCTCCAGGCAGCTCTGAGCCAGCTCAGACTCCTTGGGCACTCCTGGGATGGGGAACATGTCGGGGGCCCCCCTCAGCTGAGACAGGGTTCATAAAATGACAGAATATTTTGGGTTGGAAGGGACCTTAAAGCCTGTCCAGTTCCACCCCCTGCCCCCTTCCCGCCCACTATCCCAGGTTGCTCCAAGCCCCATCCTACCTGGTCTTGGACCCTTCCAGGGATGGGGCAGCCAGAGGTTCTCTGCCCAGCCTGTGCCAGGGTCTTACCACCCTTAAAGGGAAGAATTTCTTGTGCCATCACCCCAGTTCACTGGGAAATGGTTGCTGGTGTCTCACTTTGTGCCACTTTGTGACTGGGAGGGAGGTGGTATCTTGTGGACATCCCAGGAATGGGGAGGATCTGTTGGCCCTGTGATGGGGCTCAGGGGCTGGAGGAAGCCAGATTAAACCTGAATGTCTTTTCTCTCTTTGTCTTCTGCTGCTTTCACAACTTTAGGCTGTTTGTCCGTCATGGCAAGTACGTTTGGTTTGGGGTCCTGAGTGTGCTGAATGTGAGGGGCTTGCACGACAGACAGCTAGCCCCCTGACTGGGTCATGTCTGTAATTCCCATGTAGGGACACTGGTTACATGGGGGGGTGTCTTTGTTTTGCACCCCTTCACATGGGGGTTAGGGCTGGAGCTGCCAGGAGCTACATCAGGCACAGATCCTGTTGGCTGGGATCTTGCTTGGCTGGGGGTTTGGTGGCTTTCCATGTATTTTCAGCTGAAGGGCTGCTTTTAAGTATAAATAAATAAAATATTTGAGCTCAGTTTTACACAGATTTGAGGATCTGCAGGTGACTTTTTGGACAGTTTAGTGACAGGTGAGTGAGGGCAGAGGAGGGAGCAGGGTGCTGGGATGGACACCAAGTACTAGACTAGCACTGAGGGACACTAAGAGCATTTGCCTGTGCATGTTGAGAAACCCCTCACAGCACTGTGGTTTTCCTCTCTTTTAGAACTGGAGACATGTCCTGGTTAACAGGGAAAGGCTCCTAACGCTGCTGATGGCTGCGCTCTCCTGACGCTGCACTCGCCATGGGAAGATGGGACAGCAGCTCCACGGCCTGGTGGGAACCCCATGGCTCAGCCATTTCCCTTTGAGACCTGGATGAACCTAGCATTGTGCACTGACCTTCCCAGGAGGATCTCACACAGCTCCTCTGCCCCTGTGCCTGCTGGGCTGGGGCTCTGCTGTTGCAATTGCTGTGGAATTCTGGAAAGGCAGGCCACAGAGAGTGTGGGGTTTGGCACTGGCAGTGGACATGGGCACCATATGGCTCCGGATGCTGCCATGGGGCTGAGGGTCCCCAGGAAGGTCTGAACCATGCACATCCCTCACCCCCATAAGCAGCATGAGTGCCTTTGGTTGCTCCTCTGCTTTCATGCATGATGCTCCTTTCAAAATTCCCTTTTCTCCCAGCAGAGCTCCAATGTGCATCCCTGTGGAGCCTGACATCTGCTCCCTTCCTGCATGGCTGCAGCATTTGCTACAGCTCTCCCTGTGCACTCCCACTCCAGGGAGCATCTGGGTGGGCCAGGAGATGGGGTTACACTGGGTAATCTCTGTGCAGCTGGTGTGTGTGTTGTCCAGGCTGGTCCTGTGCAACCCCACCAGCAGAGGTGGGTCCCTGTCTGTACTGAGGGTTCTAGAGCTCATCAGTCCCTGTCCCAGCATCACTTGTCCTAGAACAGCCAAGGGGATGGAGTGTGTTCCCTGTCTCCTGGGCTCAGTTTGGGCTGGAGCACTGGCAGCTCTTGGCCCATTCCTGGAGTGTGTAGCAGGGGTACCTGAGAGCTGTGATGGCTTAGCTGCAGCCCTGGGCTGAGTGACCACCCTTCCAGCCAACCTTGGGATATCTCTCCTTAATGATATCATGGGATCAGTGATGTTGCTGAGATGTTATTTGAGGAAAAGTAGCTGGGGAACGTTTCTGGTTGTCCATTGTCTGGCACTCGTCCAGCATAGTGACAAGGTTGCATTTCCCAGCCCAGTGCTCTGCTGTCCTGTTTCCTGCCCCATGCTGAAGAAGAGCCATGTCTTCAGCTCAGGAGTGGACCTGGCCAGCCACAGCCCAGTGTCCATCAGCCCAGTGGAGTAGGGGTTGAGGGTCTCCCTTGGGCTGACTCCTTCCCCAACACAGTGTTTTACCCTGAGTGCCAAACAAAAGGATTTATATTTTTAATTTGTTTCACCCCTATAAATTAAAGCAATACTATTCTTGGGGTCTGGGTCATTTCTGATTCTTTCTAAAATCTTGGGTCACCTCTGCAAGTTGGCCAGATTGTTCAAGCACCTCTTCTTTGGAGACTTCCCACCTGTGCCCAGCTCACTTGGATTTCCAGTCTTTCAGATCTCAGCTGGGTTGAAATGCACCAGTCTACCACATCTCTTTTTGGTCTCTCCTGGTTTCACTGCAAAGCTTTTCTCAGATGGAATGACCAGGAGGGACAGTAGCAGGATGTGCACACTCCAGCACAGTGATGAACAGGGACCATTATGTGTCTTCTGGATCCACAAAGCAATGGGAACTTGCAAGTCTCATCTTGGTTCCAAAAGGCAAATGTCAGTGTTTCTGTCCCGAGGTTCTCCTCTGAGGGCAAAGGTGGCTGGGACTGCTCAGGTCCCAGTGCCCCAGGCAGGGCTCTTCCAGAGTGGCCTAGGGCCATGGGCACTGCCCAGGTGGAGGCAGCTGCCCAGGTGCTGCCTCAGCTCTGCCTATGACCCACAAAAATCTGGCTTTGTATCTCGTGTCCTGCTGGTGGGAGAGTTGGACTTGGCTTTGGCAGCTCCCCAGGGGACCCAGCTGGAGTGGCACAGAGTGGCATTCCCTGGAGCTGTTTGTTTTCCCCAAGCTCTCTCATATTCTCCATACTGGCTGAGACTGACAGCTCCCCCAGCACGACTTTGCTACACTGAGGACACACTGACAGAGTGCTTTGTTTTTCAGGAAGATGCTTTTTGACCTCCTTTGCCTCTGATGGGGCCTCATCCAGTATTGGGTATGAGCTGAATAAAATGGGCATCATCCCCATGTTCACAGAGCTGAAGACCATTCAGGGGTTGAGGAAGGACCTTCTGCCCCAGTCTACAGCAACAGTGGGGGTAACAAGTCCCATTCCCTCCTTTTAATAGAGGAGCTATTTCAACCGGGGCTCGTAATATCACCCATGACACAAGAAATCCCAATCATCACTCTAGCTTTTCTTGGGACATATGCCAGGTCATGGGCAGGGCTGATGGCTCAGATAGGTATTACTCCTCTGCACAGGTGTGGGGTGGTGTTGATCCTGGGACCCCTTATCCAGTGGCTTGGTGAATGCTTCCCAGTGGCAAGTCTGTCCTGGAACTGGGCAAGGCTGGGTTGTGTTCTCTGTCACCTTTCCAGGCACATCTTGCAACCTCTCATGCCAGGACAGAAAATTTCTCTTCTTAAGAAAACTGCCTGTTCCCATGAGGAATGAGAGCCCAGCTGGGGCACATACAATGACCCCCAGCTGCACTGCCCCATCTCACCAGACTGCCCAGGTATCATCTTGGTTGCTCACCTTGCCTGCCCATGCAGACTTGATGGCCGCAGATCCTGAGTTCTCTACCAGCTCCTGCTTGGATTCTGGGCTGTGCCTTGTCACCCTGCCCATGCCTCACCTGTGTGCTTGCAGGTTGGGATAGCTTGGGGGACAACTGGGGCTTTGCTTCTGCCCCACTCAGGTGAGACCCCACCTGCTGCCCCAGTCCTAGGCCCCAGCACAGGAAGGACCTGGGGCTGCTGGAACCAGTCCAGGGGAGGCCATGGAGATGCTCCAAGGGCTGCTCTGGAGCTAGGCTGGGAGAGCTGGGGGTGCTCACCTGAAGAAGGCTCCAGGGAGACTTCAGAGCCCCTTCCAGGGCCTAAAGGGGCTCCAGGAGAGCTGGAGAGGGACTGCGGACAAGGGATGGAGGGACAGGACAAGGGAAGGTTGGGATACTGGGAAGATGGGATGCAGTGAAGAAATTCTTCCCTGTGTGGGTGGGCAGGCCCTGGCACAGGGTGCCCAGAGCAGCTGGGGCTGCACCTGGATCCCTGGAAGTGTTCAAGGCCAGGATGGATGGGGTTTGGAGTACCTTGGGGTAGCAGAAGGTGTCCCTGTCCATGGCAGGGGGTGGGATGAGATGACCTTTAAGGTCTCTTCCAACCAAAACCATTCTGTGGTCCTACAACTTCAGCCAATCAGGTGTTGGTCTAACCATGCTTTCAGCCCCAGATGGTTTGGTTTCGGCAGCATATGGCAGTGAGCTCTGCAATTTCATTTTAGCTATATCTAGGAAAAAAATCATCTTTCTTTGGTTTCTTGTGTTCCTTGACACAAGGACCCCATTAACAGCACTTACTCCCACTATTTGAGGCAGCTTCTCTGATGCACCTTATGGGAGGAGTTGGAGGCTGAAGATCATGAGGTGAGACCAGATCTGTAGGGTAGAACTGACATTTACAGAGTATGTTCAGAGAAGGCAACCATGCTGGCTGGAGCCCCAGGAGCAGCTGAGGGAGCTGGGAAAGGGGCTCAGCCTGGAGCAAAGGAGGCTCAGGGGGCCCTTGTGGCTCTGCACAACTCCCTGCCAGGAGGGGACAGCCGGGGAGGGTCGGGCTCTGCTCCCAGGGAACAGGGACAGGAGGAGAGGGAACAGCCTCAGGCTGGGCCAGGGGAGGCTCAGGTTGGATATTGGGAAAATTTCTTCATGGAAAGGACAGTTCAGCTCTTACACAGGCTGCCCAAGGCAGTGGTTGAGTCTTCATCCCTGGAAGCGTTCAAAAAATGTGTAGATGTAGCACTAGCTACTTTAGTAGTGGCCCTGGCAGTGTTGTGCTAATGGTTTGACCTCATGATCTTAGAGGGTTTTTCCCACCTTAATCTGTGATTTTAAACTTGAAGTTACTGAAGAACTTTTCCCTGCCATTCACCTCTGGCTCAACCACCCCCTAACATGTCATCCCCCACTGCCCTCCCTAGCACCTCTGAGCCTGGATGGGGCTCAGGGAATTCACAGTGGTGGTTAAATACTCTGTGAACCTGGAGGCCTTGAAGAAGCATTTCAGGGGAAGAGAACCATGCTCTCATGAGGCATCCTCATCTGTCAGGGGTCTTTGAGCAATATTTGTGTTGATAGAGCCTGGCTGGGAGAGGGTGCAGTTGCTGCAAGTCACGGTGGCAGATACAACCAGCCGTCACCCCCTAAAGGTGCTGCAGAGGGGAGATGCTCTGTGACTTGTGATTTCCTTGCAACTCCATCTTGTGATTCCTGCGTGGGCTTGGTGTTTGAAGGTCCCTTCCCCAGATCCACCTTCCAGCTCAGCAACCCTGTCCCCAGGGAGCCAATGGGCGTCTTGCCCTGCGCATTAGCCTGGCCTGTCATCTCATTGATTCCCTCCTGGCTAATCCCAGCTGAGCCGGGCTGGGGTGAGCAGGGCTCAGCTGCTGTCCATGGCTGCACCCACCCCGCTGCCCCCCAGCCTGCGCCGGGGCTTGGTGGCCTTCAGTGGCTCCCTCTTCATCAACAACAAGACGTGGGATAGTGGCACCGCCCACACCTACCAGCCAGGTACGGGCAGAAGGGCTCTGCAGAGGGGGCTTGGGAACAGGGGCTGTCCATCACTGTGACCCTGCTCAGCACATCACCAAAGCACCTGGGTGCCTCTGAGGCAGCAGCACCCACCAAAGAGGGGAGCAAAAATAAGAACATTTGCTGCAATCAGCTGTTTGTGGGACCCAGGGTCTGTTGCTCCCCTCTGCAAGCTGTGAGGGACCCCAGGGGCAGGGGGACCTCAGGGCTTGTGAGCAGCCTGCTCATCCCTGCTTGTCCTGCCTAGCTCACGAGGTGTTGTCCAGCCTGCCCCTCCAGATGATGCTCTACTTCAACGTCTACTACTTCCCAGTCTGGTGCCTGGCTGAGGGGATTATGTTGCACCTGAAGGTACCATCCCATGGGGCATGCAGGGATGGGGGGAGCTGCTCCTGCCAACTCTCCCTGGGCTTGGGTGGGGGACAATGTGGGCAGGGGATAGAGGAGCCTCTTCAGAATTAATGGATCCCCAAAATGCCCTGATCCCCATGAGAAAATATTGTTCATCTCTGCTAGAGATGAAACTCATGAACTAACAAGGCAGGAATGGTTAACATGGTTGGGAAGTGTAGGCAGAGCTAGGCACCAGCATGGTGAGAGCTGGCAGAGCACGGAGAGCTGGGTATGGAGAGGAGGGCACAGGGAGCTGGGCATAGAGAACAGGGAATGGTGCACAGGTAAAGGGAAACTGGGCATGGACAGCTGGACTCGGACAAGGCTGTGCCCCCATTACAGTACCACCTGCTGCCTTGGCACTACCAGTTCCTGCTGGTCACAGCCTTCCTAATCCTCTCACTGGCTGAGGGCTCCCGCCTCTACCTGGGCTACCTGGGGAACCTCCAGGAGAAGGTAAGCACTGCCTGCCCTGGCCACAAAGGCCCTTGTGCTTAGTGAGGATCAGCCCAAATGGGAGAACTGGACGTCCCCTCCCTTAGGACCATTGTCCATCATTGTCCTTCCTCTGGAGTTATACCTGGAGCTGTCCCAGAAGGGAATCATGGGTGCAGGCATGACCTGGAGAGAGGGAATGAAGGGGACCCATTTGCCCTCCTGCTGTATCTCTCCTGTGTTACCCTTAAGTACTGGGGGGGGGGTTGACAGCATCTGACCAAAGCTCCATGTGGCAGGGACATCCCTGGTTCCTGGGTGCCAAGGCCAGCAAAAGCTGATGCAGGAAGCTCCAGGGGCACAGAGGGTCCCCCCAGCCCACCACTGCCTCCTCTCATCAGGTTCTGATCCTGCAGGTGCCCGAGCTGGCTGGATTCCTGCTCCTCTCCTTCCTGATCCAGCTGCCCCTCCTGCTCTTCCTGCTGACAGACATCCAGGTCATCCACTTGCCGCTGGAGGTGCCCATGCACAGCTTGTTCCTGGTCTTCCTCCTCCTTGAAATGGTGGCTGCCTTCCTGGCGCTGAGGATCATGACCAAGCAGCTGGCGGCACAGTTTTACCTGCGGCAGTTCCTGGAGGGTGGGGGGGAGCGGCTGGAGCTGGAGGGCACAAGGGGACAGGCAGCCGAGATGGCGTGGTGCTGCAGGACCCCTCCACCCCACACAGCTGGTCCTGGCAGGGAGCATTAAACAGGGTCAAACCCGCAGACACTGTTTCTGAGCTTTGTGGAGCCCCCAGAGGCAGCACCCAGGCACAGCATAACTGACCCTTGCCCTGCACCAGCCAACACAGCCTGGGGAAAGTGGGATTGAGGGCTCAGCACCTCTGAAATGCTCCAGCTTACCCCAGGGCTGTGCCTGTCCTTGCTGAGCATCAGCCCTGGAAGGAGGCAGGAACTAGGGCGCAGGAACCACTGCACACCCCTAGGAAGTACCAGCCCAGGGCTGTAAATTTAAGCTAGGCCCCTAAACCCTCCCTGAACTTCCCAGGGGGCTTCTGAGAATCCAGGTGGCCCACATGAAGCCATCCTAGCTGGAAGCTTGCAGGGTGCCGCGAGATGCAAGAGCAGCAGCACTCCACAAGCTTACAGTCCCTCCAAGGCTAGAGACAGAGCAGAGCCTCCTACTGCTTCCAGAACAGCTTTATTCCATCACATCCCTGTTTTTCAAGGGAAATCAAGGCCCATGGCCATTGGAACATGGAGAAGTGCAAAATTCTTTAAGCCTGTTGTGCCAAGCAGGATCAGCTGCTCCCCAGCACACTCTGGTTCTGGGGCAGCTCTGCTCCAGCACCAGCTGTCAGTGCTGTGTGCTGCCACTGGGATGGCTTTGTGCTCCAGGAGCCAAGAACTGCTGCTGCTGCCAGTGCTTCTCCAGGAAAGGCAGACCTTAACTCCGGCCGTGCCAGGACTGGCCCACCTCCACCAGGGCTCCCCCATCATATCTACCTGGAGGTGGCTCTGGAGGGAACGGTGTTTGTGGTGGAGCATTCCCAATGTCCCTAAGCTGTGGCCCCAGGCTTACCTTTAGGGGGTCTTGCCTGCAAAATGAACAGGGACATCAGTATACAGCAGCCATGGAGGCAGCCCAGGTGGTCCTTGGGTACTCTGCTTAGTTCCATGCAACCAGATTCACCAGGACCCTCACTCCACTCTGGATTTGAGATCAGGCATTAGGAAAGTTTCCCCCCCTGCCCCTGCATAGGATGGTGCAGCTTTGGGACAGTTCACCAGGAGATGGGGAATCTCATGCCTCAGAGGCTTCTAAGATTTGGCCAGAAAAAGCTGGAGATGACCTGAGGCAGGGCTGCAAGCTCTACTGGTCTGTAGGGGCCTCCCTGTGATTCCCTGATTGACCAGGGCAGTGAATTTCCACAATGGAATCATGCTTGGCACATAAACCTGTCAATGAACCACAGAACAGAATGTGCACTAAGAGCTGGTGTCTCTGTGCAGAGAGTTCCAACAGATTCCATTTGGAAGAGGGTGAAAAAGCATGAAGCTGGGTTGGTTTTCCAGGTAAGGTCCCCATGGCAACCCACTGATGTTTTGACAGTAGCTGAGGTTATGGTGCAACTTTCCCTGACCCTTGGCACCAGCTGGATCCCTCTCCCAGTTCAGACTGGCAACCAAGCCCAACAGTTGGAGACTAAGAGCTGCTCCACTAGGTTTTTCCTGGTCTTGGGAACTGAGTTGTAACCAAAAGGCAGAAAATCATTAAATCCAAAATGATTCACTTCAAAACCTCCTCTCCCCCATATGGTCCTATCCTTACCTCCTCAAACTTCCCCTTCCAATAAAGGTCAGCCTTTGCATCCAGGTAGAGCAGAACCAGGTCACAGATTATTGTAGCCTGGAGATAAACAAACATTGAAGACAAGGAACTTTCCACAGGAATGCCTGGCTTTCCATCCTGGCTCCTATGGAACCCTGCAGCCAGCTGTGAGCATTTGCTGGGGCAGTGAGCCAGCCCTGCCTCCAGCCACCTCCACTGGCTCCTCTCTGACCCAACCCAGTCCCAGGAGGCCAGACAGGATCCCCAGGCTGCAATGGATGGACAGGGAGGGCTGTTCCAGCACCCTCACAGTCACATATGGACTGGGATGAGCATGTCAGTGAGGAAGGGGGGGCAGGTGGGGGACCTCCCTGTTACTCTGCTGGAAGGGTAGAGCCAGAGAAGGGCTCTACAAGGGGCTGCTCCACCATAGTGACAGGACACTGGGTCCCTTCTGAGTCAGAGGAGAAACAGAGAAGAGCTGCTCTCTCCTGCTGACAGCATCCCAGTGATACTCTGCCCCAGGATTCACACAAAAACATGACCTCCATAGGATGTGACCATGACAGCACTCAAGATCCCAATCCAGTGGTGTCATTACTAATGGTCACAGGGAGACCTGAGCTGACATCGTGCCAGACCATCTCCCCTCTGTGCTGGCTGGCACTACGGAAGCTTTGTGCCCAGGCAGGCAGGGAAACAATTGAGAAGTGGCAAATCCCAAGCCACAGATGGAAGAAAAAGGGTGTATCGAGAGTACTCACAGCACCAAAGAAGGCGATGCTGGTGCCAAAGCTCACGGCAGTAGGAACAATGCTGAACTTCCCAGCCTGGTGAGAAACAGTGGAGGGGTAAGAGAGGGTGGAGAGTGGTCAGAGGGGTGAGAAGGTTGTGGACTGAGCCATGTGGGGCAGTGTGCTCAAAATCAGGAGGTGCTTGGAGGATGCAGGGATATTTCCCCATGCCCATTTGTAGGAACTGCTGTTGTGCTGACTCCAACCCCCTTAGGCTGTCAAAGAAGGAACAGAGGTGCCTGATGACCTGGAAGCAGCAGAGGTTACTGTGACCCACTTGCTCCTGCAGGCATAGCAGGAACCTCCCTCTTGCTGCAGCTGCCACCCATGGAGCCACATCCCAGCAAGCACAACTGTGGTGTGATGTGTCCCTCCCTTCAAAAATGAGTCTGGTGATTTCCCTTCTGGCTGTTCTCTCCTGCTTCACAGCTCCTGTTCTCTCCTGCTCTCTCAGCCTAGAGGTGGTACACCCTCTCCTGCACAGTATGCTTCACCTTCTTCAGGTGCAAAGGGCACTGCTGAGCACAAAAGACTAGCTGTGAACATCTCTCAGTGGAGGAAGTGCTCTCAGCACAGGCTTCCTCTTTGGAAAGCTAAGCACTGAATTTGTGACTGATGCTGCACAGGGTAGCATCAACAATCATAGAAACATGGAATAGTTTGGGTTGGAAGAGACCTTAAAGCTCATCTCATTCCACCCTCTGCCATGGACAGGGGACACCTTCCATTATTCCAGGCTGCTCCAAGTCCTGTCCAGCCTGGCCTTGGACATTTTCAGGTATGGGGCAGTCACAGCTTCTCTGAGCACCCTGTGTCTGGGCATCATCACCCTTAACAGGGAACAATTCCTTCCCAATATTCCATCTCTCCCTGCCCTCTGCCACTGGGAAACCATTTCCCTGTGTCCTGTCCCTCCATCCCTTGTCCCCAGTCCCTCTCCAGCTCTCCTTGAGCACCTTTAGGCCCTGGAAGGGGCTCTGAGGTCTCCCCGGAGCCTTCTCCAGGTGAGCACCCCCAGCTCTCCCAGCCTGGCTCCACAGCACAGGGGCTCCAGCCCTTGAGCATCTCTGTGCCCTCCTCTGGGCTCACTCTAGCAGCTCCAAATCCTTCTGGTGTTGGGGACACCAGAGCTGGAGGCAGCACTGCACCTGAGCAGGGCAAAGAAGCAGAATCTCTACCTCCTGCCCACACTGCTGGGGATGAGTCCAGGACATGGACAATTTCTGGGCTCTCAGTGCACATGGCTGGGGAATGTCCAGCCTTGGTCATGCAACACCTTTTCCCTCTGAGGATACTTTTAATCAAGAAGGGATTAATTGTCCAGGTTCATTAGAGTTCAGGTTGATCTTTCTCAGCGTACTCCCACCATAAGATCCTCAGAGAGACACCTACAAGCCCAGACCAGCCCACCTTGCCTACTGAACAATTCACAGCCCTCATGTCAGACCCTCAGAGAGGGAAGTCTCCCTCCTCAGGGCGTTACCAAAAGGTTTTTCTTCAAATGGGAGAGACTGTTTTCTCCTGCTCTGGTTAGGAAATTCTGGAAAGAGGTGAAGAGCTCACCCAGGTGGGGAGAAGTGATGGTAGCAGAAACGATGGGGGTAGAGTGGAAGCAGTGGTGCGAGGAGTCAGCCCTGGGGCTGAGGAGCTCACAGTACCTGGCCGTGCACGGAGAGGTCAAAGCGGATCCCATAGAGTTTCAGCAGGTTTCGGTACAGCTGCCGCTGCGAGCCCCAGTAGTAGGAGGCAGTTCTGTGGGAGATGGGCATGGCTCAGCAAGGTAGCTCCATGAAGGCAGGGAGGGAAGTGGCTGCTAGTGCCAAAGGATTGCTGGGCTGGTGGGTTCCTGGGTGTCCTCCAGGCTGGGAACTGGGCATACATGTGCAGCAATGGCTTGCTGGCACCAACAGCTGGGCATCAGCATCCCCTCAGCACCCAATCTGGGTCACTGGGAGCATGCAGCTCTCAGTGTGCCCAGTTCAGGTGGGGACAGCCACATTACCTTCTCTCAGGCAGGTAATGCCCTGCTCAGCTCCAAACACAACAGAGCTTTGAAGTATGGGAACTGCCACAGCATCCCTGTACTGACAGGCCCTGCCCTGAGTTACCATTCTTTGTTGCCTTGGAATCACTGAATCATTGGAAAAGGCCTCTGAGATCATTAAGTCCAGTTAACCCAGCACTAACCCATGTCCACCATGTCCAATGTGCCACATCTACACAGCTTTTAAATCCCTCCAGGGATGGAGACTCCACCACTGCCCTAGGCAGCTGGACCAGGGCTGGACAAACCTTTCAGTGAAAAGATTTTTTCTAACATCCAATCTAAACACTCCCTTTAGTGCAACTTCAGGTTGTTCCCTCAAATAAGGCTCCTTGTTGCCTGGGAGCAGAGCCCGACCCTCCCCGGCTGTCCCCTCCTGGCAGGGAGTTGTGCAGAGCCACAAGGGCCCCCTGAGCCTCCTTTGCTCCAGGCTGAGCCCCTTTCCCAGCTCCCTCAGCCGCCCCTGGACACACTGCAGGTCTCTCTTGTCAGGAGAGGCTCAGATCTGCCAGGACTGGAGGTGCCCCAGCAGGGCCAGCACAGGGAACACGCACTTTTCCCTGTGCTGCCATATCAGGGCTGGCACAGATCAGGTACCTTTGGCCTTCTTGCTCACTTGGGCACACCTGGGCTCATGTTCACCTTCAGGTCCTTTTCTGCCTGCAGCTTTCCAGCCACTCTGCCCAGCCTGGAGCATTCCATGGGGTTGTTGTGAGCCCTGTGCAGGATCTGACACGACCTTATTTAACCTCATACCATTGACCTCAGCCCATGGATCCAGCCTGTCCAGTTCCCTCTGTACAGCTTCCTGCCCTCCAGCTGGTCCACACTCCCACCCAGCTCAGTGTCATCTGTGAACTGACCAAGGCAAACTTGCTGTCCCTGCTGCTCCTTTCAGAACATCCATCAGAACTGAAATCTCTGAAAACTGCCATGTGCTGATCTCACAGGCCTGTGTAGCCACTGTCCCAGCATCCTTACCTGAAATTGTACCTCCTGTCCTGCAGGCTGAAGGAATACTGTGGCTGGCACTGGGTAGCGGGGTGGTCCAGGTCGCAGTTCCACTCAATAAGAACTCTGATGCTTCCTCCCTGCAAAACACATTTTACTCCAGGAGAAGCATGGGATCAGATTGGCTGTCATTAACTGTTCAGACATTCCCAGATCACATATTCCCTTAGCACTTCAGGTCAATCCTCTGCTTCTTGCTCACATCCTTGAGGAATTTTGAGTTACCTTCCATAGTTAAATAAAAAACAAGTACCAGCAGTGCGAGGTCTCCAAAGTTCTCTCCAGCTGCCTCCACCATGTCACGGACACGGAACACAGGGCAGGAGGGGTTGAAGACTGGATCATATGTGCAGCTCTTGAAATAGCTGGAGTCAGTTGTTTGTAAAGTGTTGCACCTGAGACAGGAGAGGAGGGGGGGCAGGGGTGTGGGAGGTAATGGAGCCCAGCTGTGGGACTGCAAAGGGGACCCTCACATTGGATTGGGCCCACCAGTGCATTGGTGGGGGGACAGTCAATGCCTTGCCTAAAGCCTCAGATGGAGAAAAAACAGCCCAGAGGAATCTCCCATGGAGTTATTCTCTATAGCAATGTGCCATGACATTTCCTTCCACCTCTTTGCACTCCTTTGTTTCTTCCCAGCACCCAGCTCTAGTCACTGCTAGGGTTAACACCAGGGACAGTTCATGCCACATCCCCTGCCACAGTAGGGCAGGACAGTCAGTGTGCTGGGGCTGTGGGGCCTTCTGTGAAAGCACTTTGCAAGGACTAAAAGAAAAAAAATATTAGTTTCATTTCCAAATGAGAGTTTAGGAATTGGCTGGCCTTATCCAGCTCTTCGCAGTGCTCTGCATGGGCAAATGGACACCAATCCCTTTCTCTGAGGTCCCCATCCCACTGCTCTTAGAGCTGCACACCCAGCACACCTGCAGTGACCTCTATTCACCTCAAAACCTGTCCTGCTCTAACTGGCCCAGCACTACCTGCCCTGGGTGCCATTGGCTCCACGAGTGCTTCAGCTCCTCAGCCCCATGACAGGCTTGGTGCCAAGGCTGGACCAGGCTGCATGCTCAGCCCAGCTGGAAAGTACTGTACTTACTTGGAGAAGTTAAATTTGGTGAAGTGGACAGTATTTTTTATAAAAAGAGTGAAATTCTCTGCCTCAGCCAGAAGTGGTTTCCTAGAAAACAACCACCAACAAAGTCATGTCTTGCACAGTGGTCAAGGCCCCATTTCCTGATCCCTGCAACCCGATCTCCTGCAACCCCAGAATTTTGGCTACAATGGACAGGTGCAAGAAATGCTCTTAGGTGAAGTCCTCTGACTTTAACTGACAAGAAGGTCAATGTCAGAGGTCTCCCTGAGCCTGGCTGCCCCTTGGGCAAGTATGGTCAGACTCCTGGTAATGCAGAGGGAGGGAGCCAAAGCTCCCAATTATCTGCTGTCTCCTCATGTGTGATTACCTGGGCAGGGTGCCATTCTCCACAGGGCACCAGCCATAGATCTCACAGGTGGAATGAGTGGTGTTGAACATCAAACACTTCCCAGTTTTTATGCCTAGAAAGGAAACAATATAAGACAGGCTGAGAGAGTTGAGGTTGATCACCTGGAGAAGACTTTGGAGAGACCTCAGAGTCCCTTCTAGTGCCTAAAGGGGCTCCAAGAGAGCTGGAGAGGGAATTGGGACAAGGGCCTGGAGGGACAAGATAAGGGGGAATGGCTTCCCAGTGGCAGAGGCAGGTTGAGGTGGGGTGTTGGGAAGAAATTCTTGACGGTGGGTAGGCCCTGGCACAGGGTGCCCAAAGCAGCTGTGGCTGCCCCTGGATCCCTGGAAGTGTCCAAGGCCAGGCTGGAAAGGACTCAGAGCAACCTGGGATAGCAGAAGGTGTCCCTGACTATTGCAGGGGGTGGAACTGGATGAGCTTTAAGTTCCATTTTAACCCAAACCATTCTAGGTTTTTGTTTCTTTAGCAAAACACCCAGTACCATTGCCATGAACCACAGGGTTTCCCATGGGACAATCTGCATCTTCTTTGCACATCCCGTCGAGGACAGAGGGGCTCTGTGAGGGACAGAGAGAAGTGCTGTCACTGTGTTGTGCAGCTACCTGAGGCCATGATGTCACTCCCCCCCATTGCTGCACTGCTGCTCCTGCATCTCCAAGTGCTTCCCACATAGTTAGAGATGAACATTCACCAGCCTCTAGCCAGTCAGAAGAGAGGCATGTCCAAGGGGCAATCCTTCCTCTCCAGAGCACTTGTGTCCTACTGCTCAGTGGCAGAGGAAGCCTCAGGAGCTACCTCAGACCTTTCAGATGGAACTGGGAACCAGCACTGAGAGATTCAGGAAGGCCCTAATGACTGAGCCCATTAAACACCTTGTAAAGTATGATGAATTCCCCGGGGGAGAGCTTAGTAGACCCTAAATCCAGCATAACACAAGTTTTACAAGAGACAGGAACAGCTTAATCCTTACTCTGGACCTACCTGATTGTCAGGAGCAGTAAAAACCTCTTATTCAAACACAGAGAGATGATGGTAATTGGGGAAATACCACTAACACCTCCCCTAGCTACCTCAGGCCATGACAGGAATCACCAGCTCATCAGAAACCCACCTCCCCCAAGCCCTGGGGGGCTCAGAGGCCCAGATGCAGGAGGGGAATCCTCAACTATGGAGTAAAAAGTGAGGTTCTGTTCAGGCCTTCCCCAAGCTGCCCCAGGACAGCCTCAGCCCCTCATTCAGGTGTAAAACCCACCAATATGATCTGAGAGGAGCAGTATCTTTGGGATGGGTGGGGTCTGAAGTCATTATGGGATGCAGGAGAACATCTGGCAATTGCCCAAGGTGTTTAGGGAATGGGCTATGTAGGGGAGGAAGAGAAGGCATGGAAAGGAATGAACTTGGTAGTCTGAAAAGGAAGACAAACATTGGAACATAAAGGGATAAAAGGATGCAAAGACTTAAGTGCATGTACAGCTGCTGAAACAGTTTGGCTCACATTTGGTGCTGCCTCTGGCCACACACACTCCAAAGCAAGCACCAAATACTCTGGTTGTCAAGAATATTAAGATGATTCAAACTCCCTGCAAAGCCAAAAGCTGCTAAATATTCAAAGCTTTCCAAATATGAATGTCATCTACAGCCCAAATGCCAGGAACAGAGGAACTCTTGGAGACCAGCACAGGATGTAGGCTGGGATACGCACCAACACACACCCCAGCTCTGGAATGAAATCCTCAGCTCTGTGTGTCCTTGGCTTGCACACTGCCAAGGACACACCTCTGTGGTGCCTGTGGCTGCCTGTGAGAACCCTGAAATGTCCTACAGCACTTGTCTTCCTCCCTGCTGGGACTTTAGTAGTTCTCAGCATTTTAAAGATGGATCATTGGTACCATTTTCCCCAATCCAAGCCCAGTGTTTCTCCTCCCCTGCAGCATTTGGTCACAGCAGGAGCTAAAGGGAGCTAATGCAATTGGTGCTTGGCTTAGGTACAAAGTGCCAGCAGTGGTTCAGTTTAAAGGACATTTACTCCCATCTGCTGAGCTGGGTCCATCCTGGGAGAAGGAGCTGGCCTGACTCCAACTTTAAAAGGAAGATTTCTACCAGAGAACATATACCATTAGGTGCTGGCTAGCTGGAAAACCATCTAGACCTTGTGCTCTGCTCCTCCTAAAAACAGGACACTAAGATGGGTATTAGTCCTGCAGGGAGTTATCAAGGAAACATGACACAGGTATCCATGGAGTGTGTGCCAAGGCATCCACTTGTTCAAGGGCAGCAGAAAGCCTGGAATGGTCATACAGTGCCACCACACAAAGAGTTCAGAGCTGGAGAGGCCCCCTGTTCCCTGTCCTGGCCACCACAAATAGTTCTGGTAGAACACGTGGATACACATCTTGGCTCATGAAGGTATGAGAGAGAGCAAGTGCAGATGTGCTGCAGAGCGCTATTTATTGTCCTGGGGTGACTTTATGATGCTGGTATCCCCAGTCGCCTGTTCTGTTTATGTTACATATGTAAGTTCAGCACCTTTAAGACTGGCTCTGAGAGCAAACAGGGAGAAAGAAGAAGCACACAGCTTGTTTTCAGAAATGGCACTCACTCAGAAACGGCATGCTTCTCTGGACTGCATTGTCTGCAGCATGGACAGACAGCAGGACAGAGCTCTCCTTTGCTTTTAGTTAGTTTTTAGCTAGCTGAGACAGAGAAGTTCCCCAGACTGTTTATTTTCCTTTTTTCTTGGATCTCTTCAAACCTGCACTGGACTGAAAACCCAGACAAACCCCAGGAACTCACGCCTGTGGCCCACCAGGGCCTGGGCATGGGCACTTTCCAGCACCAGAGGAACTGATAAGAGACTGAGCGAGCTGAGCTACACCCCATGAAAAGGACTCTTCTGGATTTGCCATCTCTTTGAACATTGAGAGGTTTTATTTTTTAATATTATTCAATTTCTGTTAAATAAACAGTTTTTTCCACTTTTCTCCAAGGAAGTATTTTTCCTGAACCAGTTGGGGGAAGAGCCGCTTGAATTTGCTTTCTGGAGGGACTCCATTAGGAGGTTTTCTCCCAAATTTGCCCTAAACCGGGACAAATACAGTTACTGGTGTCCAGTGTGGGACCTGAGAAAGTGGAAAAAGCCTGTACCAATTGCATTTTGGTTGTACTTACTCTGTATTGGGATAAAGCAGTCAGTAACCATGTTGCTTGAATTCATAATGTCTCTCAGGATGGAGGCCTTCATGCAGTTCTGGTCCCTAGGCTTCTCTGAGGTTTTAATACCTTTCTGGTCCCTAGGTTTATTTTCTTTTCCAGAGATAGCTCCAGTATTGTCCCTAACATGTAGCTTTTACAGTAGAGTGGCACAGATTAGAATAGCTATTGTGCTGGGATTGGTGAAAATGATTTATAGGAAGTGAAGCAGTGAGAATGAGGGAAATCAGGTTTTGTGGGAATATAAATCCATTTTTCCCTTTTATCTGGTCTTCCACTGGGTTCCACTGAGCAGCAGGACCACTCCGTCCGTCCCACCCCTGTGAGGCCAGGCTGAGGCAGGTCCATTCACTCACCTCAGGGCAGGTGCCTTGGGCTTGCTGGATCGTGGCAATGAAATTAGTCACCAGGAAAAGCACATTTTCTCCCTGGGAAGCAAGAAGGCGCTGTCAACGGGGGCTGACACTAGAGTGGGTACAAGGGGACGCCCTGTGACACCAAGGGTGGAACAGGCACTAATGGCTTTGCCAGGGCTTATTGGACGCCAGCGGTACCTGCGGCATCCCCTTGCCAAGACAACTGACTGTATGTGTGACCTCCCCGCCCGGGGCCCGGCCGTACCTGCGGGGGCCAGGTGAGATCCGCAGCGTCCCAGAGCCGCCGGCCCGCGGCCTCGGCGGCCACCGCCCCCTTCACCTTGGTGAGCACGGCGACACGCGGGGCCGCGTCGCGTTCCTGGTACCCCTTCCGCAGCAGCA